CGTATGATTTTAAAATGGACAATTTATATTTGCATTTAAAGTTATAAAATATGATTCAATAAACATGTTTATGGTTGTTACAGTAAAAAATATAAGTTTTTCTACTCGGATTTTATGTTTTTTGTCTGATTTTAGATCAATTGTGTTAATACAGTATGTCAAAATGAAAACATAACTGTAAATTCAGACACGTGAGGTTGTGCTGAAAAGGATGATACCAAACAAGGCAAAGGAAATAGTTTTTAAGGGTGAAATATAGAGGTGCAATTCAAAAGTAGTTAAAAATGGCCAATTATACCCTGGACTCCAGAGGGTTAAACATTTTTTTAAAGTAACGCAATAGTTACAAGATTCTAAAAGTAATTAGTAACTGAGTTACTTTTCAAGTAATTAACTCATTTACTTTTTCTGAAGAAGTAACTAGTAACTATAATTAATTACTTTTTCAAAGTAACTTGCCCAACACTGGTTACTGAGGGTTTAATCCACTGCAGTATCTCCTGTTAGTCTCCCTACATACACCTTTATCACACTGACACTAATCTCTAAGTTTAATTTATCGGTAAAGAAGACTTTTCTCCACTATCCTCCATGAAATGCTGTGAAATTTGCTTGTTTTCTCCTCAGAAGTGGTTTAGAAGCAATCCTCTGAGACCTCATGGACACATCCTCCTTTCATTTTCACTGACATCATTTTGTAAAGATGGCGTGCTCACCGTTGATCATCATCCTGCTCTGGATCCAAATCCTAAAACTTTCCTCATTTCCATGTTTACATACATGGACTCGGCTGTATGCCTTTAAGCTGTTAGTTTAGCAGAGATGTTGCAGATAGCAAAGTGCATGTCAAGCATTTTGATTTATTTTTAATGCCCTGTTCTGCATTCTTTGCCACATTAAAGTTTGATTCTTTATGTAATGTTAGGATAGCCAACAGCTGGAGCAGAGCTCCACAGATGTGTCAATTTGGTGCTTCCTCCTTCTCCTCCACCTCTACCCGTTATCTCCCACAATTCATACATTGAAGGGGAATTTCATGATTTTCCAAAACTAAATCCTCTGGGCGGGTGGAGCAACAGTGCACAATGTGGGGGCTCCCACTGTGGCTACATCTGCACATTCTTCAAGAAAGCAGCAACACCAATGAATTCATTTCATACTTCACAGAACTCAGCAGAAGCACTATGGCCTTTCCACCCTGCCAACCACAAGTCTGGCAAAAGACGAAGATTCGAAAAGAATTAAAAAGCAAAACAAACGTCCTCGGGGCCTGGCTGAACTCCTCGCTTAGTCACCTTCATCACACCACACAGCAGCAGCCACAGCAGCACCGAGGTGTGCGTGTCAGCGGTGCAATCTTCCTCCCACCCTCCGTATCTTTTACCATCTTGCACCGGGAGAAGAAGAAGAAGGAGAGGAATAAGAAGGGAAGCGCGGGAATGATTAATGCGGGCCCGCGAGGAGGCGGTGAGTGCGGAGCCACAACACCAAGCTTAAATTGGCAGAACTTCATTAGGCGCATCATAAATAATCAACTTTAATTGATATTCCAGTGCGCTGATTAAGAGTTAACATGAACACAACAGGACAGGGTAGATGCATTAAACGTGTCGCCTCTTGTTCTCGCAGAGCTGCTTTTGCGTGTAACACAGTGGGGAGGAAGGACCGATGATGCACTAATCACGAGCGTATGAATATTCACGAAGACCTTCTGTCCACAGAAAGTGATAAATACTTCTCACTTTAGCTGAGTCACACAGACAAAAACAGAGGAGGAGGAACATGCAGGCATCAAGTCGAGGCGTGCAGATGTTGTGCTGCTGCAAATCATTTCAGCAAAAAGAAATCCTATCAAACCACATCAGTAATATCCAGTGAACCATATTATGTATGCAGACTGTTTATTGTGTGCAAGCTGATATTACATAAAACACCTGTAAAAGTATTGTCATGATTTGCAGAACCAAAGGAGGCGTCTCAGATTTCCCTGTTTTGAAGTGTTTCATAAGGATCTTTGTGTCTGTGAGTTAAAGCTAACTTGATATATGCGCAAGTTTCCAAAGACTTCAAGTATGATACTTCTAATGAGAATTTTACTGAAGAGACTGGGGTGGTTCAGCGCTTTGTAGCTGCAGAAGTTAAAGCACTTTTAATAATTTTATTTCCAGGCTGTTCTTTAATTGTGAGGTTATCAAGTTTAAGATTTGGTGCCACACGTTACCAAACTGAGCCGCAGAGACACTGCACACTTTTATGTAGGAAGGTGACTTTTACATATGAACGCGTCTTTCTTCCTGTGCTTTTATTTTATACGACTCTTCTTTTAACATCTCCACCGCAGAGTCTGTAATAAGGAATGGCTGGCTGATTGATAACCATTTGCCGTAACCTGGAGAGGTGCAGGCGGGCTTATATACCCTGGGGCTCGCTGCCCTCATTTCCCTGTCTGCAGCTGAAACACCTGAACACGCAGGATCCTCTGCATTCCTCAGCCATGAATAGTTTCCCATAGTTGAAGCTCACACGAGTGCGCATTATACGGCACTGTACCGCATGGGTGATGACGTTTGGGTACAGTTGCTAAGTTAGAGGAATATTAACAACATGGAGCAATTCGACATTTGAACATTACAGTTATTTCTACTTCTCTGTTTCTTGTATCATTATTACAGTTATTAGCAGGTTTCACTTCTCTACTCATTCACCCCTCGTTTCCTGATTGTTGACCAAATGGAATGCAGCCAGCAATAAAGTGTCTGTTTTGTAAAAAACACACACACAATATTTACAACACTGTACATTTCTACAGTTTCCGCGATGCCGTGTTTAAATTCTGTGTTAGATGGAGAAAGGGGGAGGAAATAAAAGGCAAACACGTGGAGGAAGTAAAAGAGAAGGCTGTATCGCTGAGGGCGAATTCAGCAAACGCTGATTTCTCACCTGAATTTTCCGCTAAGGAGGAAAACCCTTTAACGACCAGGAGCAAACCGCCGAACAAGCAGATCTGGATTAAAACCAGCTCCTTTCGCCGTTTCCGCCGCGCTTTCACCTTCTTCTGATTCGGCATCACTTGCTTCGCCCGATTCCGGAGTCGGATACCCGGCAGAGACGTCCCCGCTTCCGCTGCTGCCACATCCATGCGCATCCAAGAAGTACCAAAAAGAAGCGAAAAGGAAAAGAAGAAAACCCAACGACCTCCTTTAATTCCCGGGGAACTGACTTCTCTCCCGGAGACGGGTAAAGAAGTGAGAGAGGAAGCGGGCAGAAAGTTAAGATTGGCACCGCTAATGGGATGCTGAGAAAAAGAAAAAGAAAGGAAAGAAAGAAACGGACCAAAAGGCTTCGAGCTGCTGCTTAGAAAAGCCGGTCTGTCTTCTTATGTCATGTTGGAATGTGGTTTTGGAAGTGGTAATGCTGAGGAAGGCTGCACAGGATCTCCATGGATGCGTCCGTCTGCTGAGAGGAGGAGGAGGAAGAGGAGGGGGGCGCAGTGACGGCACTGACACTCGGTCCAAAATCAGCTTTTATCCTGATCCTGTGAAAAACATACGAAAAAGAAAAATTAACCTTTTTTATGAGCACAGGCTCGATATTTGTGAGTAAACTGGATCCTTAACGCATTCTTTTTGTTTCAAATGTGTTCAATATCAAAGATGTCACAGTTACCATGAATTCAGCAGCTGACATCAGGACATCCGGACACGCCCACTATAAAAGTTACGCCCACGAGATAGATGCACATCTGTCCAGGAGCCGACACACACTGCAGGTGTGTATCCTGCAGTCTGAACTAATGATCTAAGTGGAAAACAGGCAGTGGCTACCAAGGCTGCAGGTCCTCTGATGGCCACATGAGGCCGGCTGAAAGTGAGTGGGTCCCCACAGACTCGCGTGTTAATTCTCCAACTTTACCACAGAATTTATCACCTGTTTTAAAGGTGTGGGTTTTTTTTGGTATCTATAGTAACTCTACAGGGATTCATATTTTATACCTCACCCCTGGATACAAGGGTGCTAGCTAACGATGAGCCAAAAGCTACAACACAGCACACATTCACTTTGGCTCCTCCCCCCTGCAACCCAACTGTCTTCTGATTGACTGCCCCTCATAAAAAGAAGACAGCGCAAAATTGACCCAAATTTCATCCTCTGAGCCACACAGTTTTTAACTTTGGACGTGTTTACCATGTTTACCATGTACAGATACAGTAGATACATGTACAGTGTTGTAACAGTGAATATGTGACAGAAACAAGGAAAGGCAAATCCATCTTTTATTAAAAACCTTTATTAAAGTGTGAATCAAAGAGCAACCATGCACTGTATTTGTGTGTTTGTGTCTCCTGATAAGCTGCAGATGTTTGATGGGTTCAGTTGTGTCGTTGACTGCCCTCTCCTGGGATTGTGTTTTAATAAGACCACATTAAACAGCTTATACTCACAGAAAATTGAACAATAATAGTAGTATAGAGTTCTTAAGTTGTAGTTTTCACTTAAACCACTCACTCACACAGAGCCAAACACTTTGACTACGCCTTCAAGGCTTCTGTAAATAATACCGGTATTAATCTTACTTTAAAATATGATGATATTATGGTCAAAACTAAACATCGGCCCCTGTGAACATGGATTTGAAAAGAATAAAAAAAAAAACAGTTTGGTTCTCTTCACATATCTGGTCTTTTACTACACATCTATCAGACCCGGGGCAGATTAGATGTGCTGTATTTTCTTTGGTTATACAACAGTCGTTAGGTCATGTGGATTGATTTCTCCGGTGCTGCTTGTACATGTTGCCTACTTGTTCGCTGCAGATAGTTCTGTGTCCACAGAGATGATACGGACCACCGATTCCAGCATGTCTCTGCCATTTCTGATGGTTTTTTAATGCAGTACTCTTTGAGTGAAGCTGAACTTCGGGATAATGGATAATACTTGATCCCAGCCAAGTGGGTTTCTTGATTGTGGGGCCTGAGGTTTCATATAAATAGCACTGGAAACTTTCCAGCAAGAATGGAAAAAAGTGGTCAGGGCTCTAGGCAACTGGTTTCATTGTGCCTTATTAACCCTTTAGAGCAAAGAGCCCAGAGTGATCTAAAGGCAACCAGGATACGAGTGACACTTCTACATCGGTTTCTGATGTGTCCTGGAAAACGTTCTTCTAAATCAGTTGGGAATTGTTTACTCTCTCGTGATGATGCCAACATGATTCGAGGCCTTTAAGCTGCCATGAAACCGGGCCTGTCTAACCTCCAAAGCTACATCAGACTCGGCACGGAGTTACTAAACACGCTGAATTCCCCCAACCTCCCAGACGTAAGAAATAACTGTGGGGAAGGAGGGAAGAGGAAGGAGGAGGAGTGGGTGGGTGGGGAGGAGGAGGGGGGCAACAAATTAAATCCAGTTAAATTGTTTTTCCATAGCCAGTAGGCTTGGCAAAGGACTCGCTCACACACACAAGATGTAAGATAAGTTGTAGAAAAGACAAACCAGAAACAGTGCGGCTTCAGATGTAGGAGAATGCCTGGAATTTAACCCAGTTTCCCATGTCCGCCTCACACCGCACCCACTGCCCTGCCCAGCAGCTCAGGACGTCCACATCCACACACGCAAACAGGTGATTCCCCACAGCGAGACATCTGTCCTGCACCAGCCCTCCCCTGGTCAATAACCCACACAGCCTACCTCCTCCTTCCTCTGGCATTGGGATCACAATGCAGCCACTGCAGAGGAAAGCTGCAGTTCTAGCAGTTTGAAACACCAAGGCTAGGTAGCTAGCTAGCAGACATATCTGGGTCATGTCTTCCCTCTCAGATAGCTCCCATATCCAGGATGCAGCAGCTCCTCTTCCTCTCCACCGCAATCTCAAATCAGAAGGAAAGGGATGAGAGGGGTATAGCATGGTTGGCCAGGAATAGCCAACCAAAAAAAGAAGAAAACTAAAGTTGGGACAGTACAGAGGCCAGGTGGTGATGCTGAAAGTAGAAATAAGGCCAAGCATCCCTGCTGTTTGCATTAAAATGAGCAGAATGCAACACACAAACAGAGAGACGCTTCTTTCTTACACCTTTATAAAAACGACAACAAAACGTACATTCAGATCTGTCGAGTGACAGCAGGACAGCGTCACAATGAGAAACATGAATAAATAGCTGATGTCAGAGTTGGTCTGGTCACACTGATAGTGAGGTGCAGCTGGCCCCTCTCCGCAGGTGTAAAGCACAGGTGAATGGGGCAGTCGCAGAAACTCGATCCTGGTCTTACAATCGACTGCAGCACCCTTTCTAGAGTCATTCCCACTGAGTGGGTCAATAAATTGAGGAACACACTGAGACACAGGTCACATTTTAGCATTTAAAGTCCAACTGAAATCACATCTCCGTCTGCTGTAGTCTAGTCAAAGTGATTTTAAAGTGTAAAGCTATTCTTATTTCTGTTAATGAAGAGACAATAATGATTTGGGGCATCAAAACCACTCTGGCAGCCTCTGAGTTAGTTGGTTACCATTCATGTTTCAGTGAAAGCTGAGTCAGTGCAAGCAGATAATGTTAACAAATGTGCGCCGCTAAATGAGTACATGATACACAGCCATCTTTATGCTACGTCACTAAGTTGCTAGCAGACAGTAGTTAGCCAAGACTCGGCTGGTTAGCCAAACTAATGTTGTTAGCAATGCGCTTTTACCCAGTGGATGTTTGTTAGCTAACTTAGCAAGTCGGCGTGCAGCATCGTGCTTACATGTAGCTGGAGATTTAATGCAGGCTGTTCTTTGAAGCTTTTGTGGGGTGTTGCTGCAGACTGCTGTCTACTTATTAGTGACGTAGCTTCTGATTCCAGAAAGTGAAGACCATGCAAAAGGCCAGCAAGGGGCGACTCAACTAGCTGCTAAAAAAGCAGTCCGTTTGTACAGAAATCAGTGTGGGAAAAATTCATCAGTGATCTCAAATTTAAAAAAAAAAGAAGAAGGAAAAGTAAATACTGGTGATGTGTTTATGTGCTCCGCTGATATTTTTCGGTCTTCTTTACTAAAACATGATGATCATTTTACAAATTTACAGCCAGAATTAGGAGAAAGCAGGATCCAGGTGCACATTTAGTTTCAAATTAAGAAGGTAAGGCCAAAAAGACTGAGCTTGAGGACTTCACTAACCAATGACTGACTTTACAGAAGTTTCATCTCAAGTCTTTGCATATGAAACGTAAACTTGTCCAGCTACAAACAACAGGGCCATTTCTTTTACAGAGCAGACGGTGGTAGCAACTTCAGTTTGACCTTAAACAAAATCTGCTACTCAAAAAGGTAAAATAACCTCTTAGACCTCAAAAATTTGACAAGTGTCACAATATAACAAGCTTGGTACATTCTCACTACCATGATGTTCCTGCAGTATAAACTCGGAGCTGAGCTGTGCTTCAGGGTCAGAGTCATGTCTCTAAACAGAGACTAAGTCAGAACAGACAGAGAGAAAGCAAAAGACAAAGAGACAGATGGCGGCAGAAACATGAAACGATGGAAAGAAAGGGAGCGAGGGGAAAAGGAAAGCCGAGCACATAAAGCTACTGGGCTGCACGGTTTTATGATGTTGCCATCACCCACGCCTCCCCTCCCCTCGCAAATCTAAGAAAAGTGTGCAGTGTCATGTGGCCAGACATCATCTTTGCTACATGTAGCTGGTCCTATCTGAGTGTGGAGGAGAGAGGCCAAGGGGACGATGTCTGAAACAGGCTGAACGAATCCTGCTGATTTCCAAACAGGAAGGACAGTCCAGGATCAGGTGAAAGAGTCGCTGAGGTTTAAGGCCTTCCTGAGGAAACTGGGCTCACCGTCATGTCCCCAGTACGACATCTGCAAGACACGAAACAGCAGTAGTTTAAACTCTTTTTCTTCATACTCTCTCAGTCATTACACAGTCATTCACATCATTACAGAAGATCAACCAAATGTGGAAAAATCTTCCCATGTGACCCCCACAGGATGAGCTGATCTTTGTTGCATAGCAACTTTAGCAAATGTAATTAAGCCCTGTGAAATTAGACCCTGAAACCATCAACACTATCAGGGTTACAGCACCTTTATGTTTATAGGAGTCAAAATGTAGCGCTTTGGAATTTTCTTAAGCCTTTTTGAGCCCTCAAAGCATATTTATTGGGCAGAAAATATCCATGTGAAAGTTCAGGATGAAAAACACATTTAAGCTCTGTTAAGAACTACAATGAAATCAATTTCACCCCCCGGTTCAGCTTCTTATTTATCTCTCTCGCTCATGTCTGAGGTAGGCTTGGTTAGCATTCGGGAATCAAACCCACAACTCCCGTTCCAAAGGTGTGTAAGTCTTACTACCACGCTATCCAGCTGCCTTCTCAGACAGGGCATACATGGAACGCCATAACCAAGTGGCTGGCATAGCATACAGAAACATCTGTGCTGAGTATGGCCTGGAAGTCCCAAGGTCAAAATGGGAGATGCTGCCTAGGGTGGTGGAGAATGACCAAGCTAAGATCCTGTGGGACTTCCAGATACAGACGGACAAAATGGTGGTGGCTAACCAACCGGACAGAGAGATGGTAGACAAACAGAAGAAGACGGCCGTAGTGATCGATGTAGCGGTTCCCAATGACAGCAACATCAGAAAGAAGGAGCATGAGAAGCTGGAGAAGTACCAAGGGCTCAGAGAAGAGCTCGAGAGGATGTGGAGGGTGAAGGTAACGGTGGTCCCCGTGGTAATCGGACCACTCGGTGCAGTGACTCCCAAGCTAGGTGAGTGGCTCCAGCAGATCCCGGGAACAACATCAGAGATCTCTGTCCAGAAGAGCGCAGTCCTGGGAGCAGCTAAGATACTGCGCAGGACCCTCAAGCTCCCAGGCCTCTGGTAGAGGACCCGAGCTTGGACGATAGAAGCTCTCAGGTCTTTTTGTTTTCTTTTAATAATATGTTTATTATCAGAAAATAGATGAAACATACCTGTGAATATTCCATGAGATTCTTATGATATGCTCATAGTTGGTTTATCCACTAGGAATTTTGTCGGGTGAAGTCTCGTTTTTAGTTATCTTGGCTGGAGCTGTGTATTCAGCTCCAGCCAAGATAACTAAAATCAAGAAATGATGACATCGGGTTTTGATACCTCAAGAAAAATAAAATAAAATAACAATGTAGGGCATAAAAAAGACAATGGTTTAATCCTGAGCTCCATCCTGCTCAGACAGCAGACACACACGGACCTAATCTGCACAGATTATGGTATTTATGGACTGGGACACTCCAAAGATCACAATCTAAAGCCCAAATTGGTACAAAACAAGAATAATCTTTTCTAAAAGATGGAAAATGTAGTTAAAAACAAAACTGATCTATGGTTTGAGTGGGGGACCTATATACTAAAAGCCACTGCAGGGGTGTGGTTTCCTACCACTCTCTCTCTGCTTTCATGTCTGGTCAGATTAAGACTAAAAATCTTTAAGATAAATCTTTAAAAACCAACTAACACAAAAAGCAAGACTATATCGACAGCAATATCTTTACGGACTAAAATAAGCCATTCAAAGCTAAGCATGGACGCTTTCCCCCCCCACAGACTTTGGCCTTATTTGTAACTTTCCCATTTTATTCCTGTTAAAATGAAAAGAAGTAAAAATTCCTGGAGGTTTAAAGTGCAGCTTCCATTTTAGATGAACAGACAAATTCAAAAGTCTGCATCATATTAAAAGATCTGCACAAAAACGCTGACGGTAGCAATGAAAGCTAAATTTAAAGATGCAGTTGTGTGAACATCTCCGACAGTCCTGAGAACAGCTACAGCTGGAACCTCTTCACAGCAGCTGAAACCTTCCTGTACTGATAACTTAACATAACTCTATTTTGAAATTAGAGCGTTGCAGACAGGAAGGACGAGCAGAGAAGATAATGGAGGGCTGTCGCAAATTATTCGATGGAAGTCGAGCACGGCTCATGTTTAAGTCACGCAAAGCAAACCTGGGGAGCACCAGTTCTCTCTATAAAACATGCAGCTACAGAGCCAAGCAAGCAAGGCCGCTGTCCTTTTTCCTCTTTCTTCCACCCATCCCTCTCTTTCGCTACAGCACACACACTTCCCGAGGTGCTGTGTGTGCACTCTCTCACTCCAAAATCCAAATAACAGTCACCTTATCAAAAAAACCCCAAAAACAAAAAAACACTCCCTTTCCTCTCACATTTCCCCCTCATCCCTGGCTTCTGGTCAGACCTTATGTAACAAGGTGCTGAAGCCTCCAAAACCTGAGGATTACACTGCATCCTCCCCCGCTGTGGAGGAGTTCAGGGAGGACATAATAACATTGCACCTGCAGATGTTTTGATGGAGGTTTTAAGCCATTAGAAGCTAACAGCAGCTATCAGGTGACTGGATGAGGATCACTCCAGAGTTTTTTCCCCCATACAAGATATGAAAATGCTGATTTAGTCAATAAAAGTCTAAAACTTTGGGATCAGGTTTTCCGCTTCTGGCTCAGGGTGTTTGGCGTGTCATAATCTCCTGCTCAAAAGTGACTGAGTGCCGCCTACTCCAATCGAGAGACGTCAGTAAGGTTCGACTCTACGGATTACTTCTACACCACATATTTCCTCAATAGATTTTACATTTAGTGTCCACTTCATTAGACACACCTTTGTAGTACAGGGTTGGCCCCTTGTTTGCCTTTAAACCTGCCTTAACTCAACATGACACAGATTCAACAAACCGCTGGAAGCTTTCCTCAGAGATTTTGTCCACATCAACACGACAGCATCACACAGTAGCTCCAGATTTGTCAAATGAACACCCAAAGGTGCTCCACTGGATTTAGATTTGGTGACCTTTGTGACAACTTGAGCACAGTGAACTCAGATGATGTGAGCTGCTGGAACGAGCCATCAGAAGATGCTCGGCAACAGCACCCAGGTAGGCCAGCAATCCCCAACCCCGTGAATCGTTTGGTACCGGGCCGCGAGAGTTGAAGCTCGGGTGTGAAATGTATAGTTTTCAGGGTTTTTATCGGTTTTTAGTTGGTTATCTCAGTTGGTACTAAGCATTGTTGGCATCTCCCACACCATTACACTAGTAGCAGCCTGAACCATTGATGGATTCACGCTCTCAGGCTAAATTGCCAGAGGGTGTGGTCTTCTGCTGCTGTGGCCCATCAGCTTCAAGGTTTGATGTGCTGTACACTGAGAGATACTCTTCTGCAGTTCAGATCAGCAGTTTCTGAAGCCGACCAGCCCAGCTCAGGTTGCACTTCAGCAGGTCAGCATGCTTAAATGCATTGAGTTGCTGCCATGTGATTGACATTACTTGCTCCAGACCAGCTTATGTGTTCAACTTAAGTTACTATGGTAATGAGAGCCACCTTCGTGACAGTGAAACTGATTTAAGCTTGTGATACCTCACCAACCCATTAATCTCACCTCTCTGGTGTCAGTCATGCTTTTGTCTGAATGCAGCTAACTGCACTGCCCCATCTTTGAGCACAAGGATCAGGAAGCATTGCTGCCAGTTTGAGGGCATATCCATTAATGGACGTCTGCCAGAGGGTTCACAGAGGGAGAGGAGCTGTGCTGCAGGAGCCTGCAGCCTCAGCAGGGAGAGCAGAGGGGGACACAGAGAGAGCTGACTCAATGCCTCCCCATCTCTGTTCTCCCAGAACTCGTCTGTTTTTGCACTAGTAAACAAATACTCAAGGCAAATAAGAACAACCCCCCAAAACATACCCCCCCACACCAAACCACCCCCAACACTGCAATAAGAAGCACAAAATGAGAAACAAACAGGTCTGTCTCTCATGAAGGTTGCTGAGTTTCACCGCAATGTCAACAAAAACAAAGAGATCAGGCACAGATGGAAAAAGGGAGATGTGGAAAACAAGAACAACTGTAACTGCTTCTCACTGCAGATTTAAGGGCGCCATATTGCACATGACACCATACACTAATATTATAAATGGGACATAACTATTTTTGGGAGGTGACTGCATTTGTTGACAGTGCAAAAGACAAAAATGATCTTGCACAGATGCAAAGCCATTTTGTTCTCAGAGTTTCAGCAAATTTAAAAGGACCTAAAACCAGGTAAGCACAGGAAATGCTGTTTAAAAGGTATAACTCTGTTTCCATAAATAGAGTTATACAAAAAATACTGCAGTTTAGAAATGCTTTGACTGCTCAGTATAAGTAGTAAAGCATTATATACATACAGATACACCAGAAAAATTGGGAACAAAACTAAAATCGGCTTTTTCGTCATACACTTGAACATTTATTTAACAGACAAAAGGACAAAGAAAAGATTTTAAATGTTTTTTCCACTTAAACTTAATTTTATCTCTTAAACACATTTAGATGTTTGCAACACACTCCAACAACTTTGTGCAGAAACATCAGTGAGTTCTGGGCCCAAGCTCATCCGAGATGGAGCGAGCAACAATGGAAACGTGTCCTGTGGTCACATGAGTTCACAGCTCAGCGTGCACCAGTGCCCATAGCATGGGGGCTTTGCACATATGTGAAGGCACTACGAGGAGGAGGAATTTTAGACAGACATATGCTCCCATCAGGAAATTATCGTCTTTTCCCAGGAACTCCGTGTGTAGGACAATGCCAGGCCTCATTGGAAAAACCTGGCTTCGTAGACATGGAGTCTGTGTGTTTGACTGCAGTCCTGATCTGTCTCCCTTTGAAAATATCCAGCACATCATGAGGAGGAGAATCAGGTTTTAGTTTTTATTGGATTTTCAGGAAGTGTCCCAACTATCCCAGTGGGGTTTGTACCGATCCACTACCTAAAATACTGCAATTTCACTTCCCATAACCCAGGTGGTCTTTGATGGTCTGCGCAACACAGCAGATTTACTATTATCCAACTAATAATAAGAAGTCACTAACTAGCAGATGTGAGGCTTAGCAGATAGCTAGTGCTTACAGCTGTGTTAGCACACACCTCACAGTAGCCACATCGCTAACTCTGAGTTTTACAAAAATGCAGACAGGTGAGTTATTAAAAAACTCCACCTCCTCCCAAATTTCCAAAACATGACTAATTTTAAAAGCTTGTTTTTAAATTAATTATGTGCCTGAAACAACTCCATCACAGATCTCCATCCTGGGATACTTTCTGGCTCACAATGCATCATCCTCCCGTGCCGTTTCCAAACCCCCACCCTCCCAAAAAAAAGTCGAGCAGAAAAGACACGCCAGCCCAGGCGCTCAGCTCTCCATATGGTCACTAAAAGCTGTTGCAGCAAGTAAAAAGCCATTTTATGAGCTTGATATCCTGTTTGCTGTGACCTTTCCAGGAGAACCGCACACTAAACACAACTACCCACAACCTCGCACACACATAAACAAAGTGACGTGCGTGGACGAGCATGCAGGGTAATTAAGTCGGCCGGCAAGCTGTCCTGTTGTGGCTCTAATGAAGTTTCAGTGGTACCAGCCTTGGCAGACACGTTTCCATATTTACACTTGGTTTGTTTCTTTAATTTCTTGGATCAATTTATGAACTTCCTTCTGCCAAGGCTGGAGGAGCTTTCCAGGTTACATCACTACTCCAAAGTTGTGGGAGCTGCCTCCACAGCGGCCAAAAAAACAATAACTGCAGCTCTGAGATGACGACTGTGCAGAAGCAAATACTAAGAGTTAGAATTAGACTAGAAATGTCAACTTTTTTTTGTTTAAATTGTTTTTGAATATTGTGTAGAAAGTATGAACAGCGGGTGCGTGCAAGCCTTTTACTTACAGTCAGAGCCGTGTGCCTGAGATAACCACATCCTCCTTCTATGACATCATATATTTGCAAGAGTAGAAAAACAATGTGAAACTGAGCGGTTAGAGCAGTGTGAAGCCTGAGCTTTTGTCTCACAGGTGCTCTTTGTGCACAGACTGATAACAGATAACAGCATGGGGCGTCCCCTTTAAGATGAGCCTTTATTTAGTGAGAAATGATTGACAAATTCTAAAGAGTAAATTAGACAGACACGCCTGAGCGTAACTGTACCTGACTGCATGTGTGTGTGTGCATATTTCCTGTTCACCTTGATGACCTAAGGCTCCCTCTCCGAAGACACGTCCCCCTCTGCCCCACTGCTGGCGTTGGGGTCCTGTCGAGAACGCTGGGCGCCCTTCTCCCTGCCGGACTCTGAGGGACCCTTGGAGCGCGTCTTCTCTTTCCTCTGCTGCTGCTTTTCCTGCTTTGATAGCTGAGAAAATACAAGAAAGCAAAAAGGCTGGGTCAGAAAGACAACAAGCAGTTTAAAACAGCAGCTAAGCTTTTAAGATCAGAGCTCTCACGGGACACACACATTGTGGTTTTGTAAAATTTACACAAGTGGAAGCATATAAGTAGAAAATTAAATAGGCCCTAAGACTGATCCTTGTGGTACACCACAGGTAATGTGAGCCGTAGATGATGTAATCAAAAAGAATCCTTCCAAATATTCCTGAATCCAGATCCAGATTTCGATCGAGTCTGGCTCCTAAGAATAATATTTTCATGCAAGTCTGGCCATAAGCTTTTTTTTCCCCACCTGCTAACAAGCAGACAAACAACCCGGTCACATTACATCGTAGACAGAGGATAGTTAGAATAAGTAATAATAATTTATGGATTCTTATTTCTAAAACTGTAACCTTTTCCTACTCTGCGACTGAAACCGACTCATCTGGGCCTCCTGGTGGCTCTGTGGTCCCACCATGAACATGCTGCATCATGACTTGCAGATCATGACCTTTGCAGTATGCTCAGTATTCACCCAAAGGTCCTGACATGCATGACAATTACAACAATTAATTAAACAAAGAAAAAGAGGCCCGGGCCAGCACTCCACATTTGTGATACATGACTACTTCAATTCTCTCGGCATTCAGAGCTATTCCGAGCTGTCATATGATCCCCTCAATGAGTCTATTGTTGTAACTGCACGCACTCCCTCTTTTCAAAATAGCCCTTCATGCTGCCACTCAGCACAACTAGTCAGACAACTCTACTGATCAAAAACCGCTCCTCCCTCGTCTTCACGGTTCATAAACATCACTCCACAGTGATGATGAAGTAGGTATGCTACCTGACATCCAAAATAGTCTGGAAACACAGATGGTAAAACTTTTATGGTTGTAGGAGAAATATTTATGAACTACATGTCATCTTAAAAATCCAAAGCATTGCATAAGACATTACATTATTCAACGAGTACAAAAAAGACTGTTATTCCCAGCTGAACCCATTAACATGCTGTGGTAAGAAACTAGGCCTGCTGTTGTCTTTGTTGATGATATCGGTCAGATCAGTGAGTATCTGGAAAGTGACACCATTTTGCTAATTATGCCTCCAGTTGCTGCTTGTTTGTGGGTCTCTCTGCATCCAGTTAATAACTGAACAGCATGCTCTATTGGGTTGAGATCAGGTGGTTAACTTGGCCATCAAAGAATATCCCATTTCTTTGCCTTAGAGATCTCTCAGGTTCCTTTTACAGTTTGCTTTGGGTCATTATCCACTGGCACTGGGAAGCTCGGTCTAATCAGTTCTGCAGCAGTTGGCTGAATCTGAGCAGAGTGCAGCCCTGCACACTCCAAAATCCATCCTGCTGCTTCTATCAGCACTCACGTCATCAATAAAAGCAAATGACATGGTTCCACACGCGCATGCAATAATGTGACCTCCAACGTGTTCGACAGATGATGTGGTATGCTTTAGATCAGGAGCTGTTCCTCTTCTTCTCCACACTTGTCATTCTTTCACAAGTTAATCTTTGTTTCTTCTTTTCAAAGAATTATTTTTTCCAGAACCGTGTCGTCTAAAACAGCGTCCGCCAACTTTTTTTGCGTCACGGACCGGTTTATGTCTGACAATATTTTCACGGACCAGCCTTTAAGGTGTCGTGGATAAATACAACAAGATAAAACCAGTACCGGTACCAAAAAAGGGAAGATTTATTCATAACACACGGGAAAAGACCCAGAGAAACCAAGTTACAGATAAAAACGATAAAAACCCTGAAAACCATCAATTTCACATCCGAGCTTCAACTCTCGCGGCCTGGTACCAAATGACTCACAGACCAGTACCGGTCTGTGGCCTGGGAGTTGTACAAATCTGTACAAATGTACAAATCTAATCAAGCCTCCCCGTTCTTCCTGTGTAACCAGCGGTTTGCATCTAGCTGTAAACGACTGGTTTCCTCTGCATTTCATTTCAATTGATTGTAGACTGGAAGAGATGCGTCTACCTACTCGAGAGTGTTCTTGACTTAGATGTTTTTTTCTTAACCGTGAAAATCGTTCTGTCATCATGTACTTTTGTAGTCTTCTGTGGTCCTTCAGGCCTTTTGTGATTGCTGAGCTGATTGGTGCATTTCATCTTTGTAAGAATGTTAATTTTTAACACTGCTGATGTGTTTGCTCTCTCTAATAGCTGCATTTTGTCCTTCAGTCTAATGATTGTTTCCTTCTGTTGCATCTCCATCTCTTTGGACCTCACATTCAGAGTTCCAGTGAACTGTTACCAAATATAAGTTCAACACTTGAATGAACTCCTCACATGTCCATAACACTGGTTGTAGGTCAACTCAATTGCTTTTAAACCTCTGAAAATGGCGTCTATGTACATTTTTTTAAAAATTCTAAACAGTTAATGCAACACTTTTGTTAATCCCCTTGAATTAAAGCTGTGCTTCAGTCACATCTTGATTGTTTGATATAACACCGTGGTAGTGCACAAAGATATCTGTTTATAACTCCAACGCTAAAGCTCCGTCCAAACCCAAAACTCTGATCTCCAACCCAGTGAAAGCTTAGCATGATCAAACATTATGTAACTCCTGTGAATGTTGGGTTTCAGCCCACAGCCTAAATCAAAATGCACCAACAGTAAGGTGAACAAACAGAAAAACTCTGGAGCCCTCTGTCATCGGGCTGCAGCCTCCAGCTTCCCAAAGAGAACATCCAAAACTGGATGATTTTCATTGCTCTGGATAACTCTATTGTTTGCTGGCCGCTTGACCCTGTGGTGGACTAAATCCCTGATTCATGGAAAGAAAGGAACAGTGTCTGCTGGCTGTTGCTTCATTTCCCACCCCGTGCCAAGCGTAGCCTATTGGCTGGCCTTTTATCCCTCATGTTCAGTCTTGGCTTTGGTTCCTCAGCCCCCACAGCAAAACATCCCAAACAGACAAGATTAAAATTCTGAGGACTGCTTAATATCCCTCCCTTTGGGCAAGCAAGCCAAGTCCACCAAGGGGAGAGCAGCCAAAGCCTGCCTGCAGCCAAGGCATAAGGACGCTAACTGGGCTCCACAGAAGTGAGCAGAATTCAGGAAGGCTGCACGAAGCTCGTTCTGGTGGCAGAAGGAGCTGAGAAACATCCTGTCGCTGCAGGAAACCGTCCACTTTTGCACTGATTTCTATCTCCATTACTTGACTCTTATTCATTCATAAATCAGCGGTTAAATGCACAAACCCCCCCCAAAAAAAACCATTTCATGACTCGTTCACAGAATCACTGCAGAGAAAATCGAGTAAATCCAAAGTTGAAAAAAATCACGAATGACACCATGATCATGTAGCTTGATCCAGCCTTAAAAAAAATAATGAAAACGTGCATTTGCTTGAACTTTAATTGGTAAAATAAATAAACAAATGCGAGCTAAACTAAACCATCCTGATGAGGAGTGAACCTGGACTTTTCTTCAAAATAAGAATTTGATCTCAGTTATCTTGTTTTAATAGTTGTCGAAACACAAAAATTGTGACTGAAATTAAAATCTGACAAACTGATCAATCAACAAAGTTTTTGCTTCAATTAAAAAATGAAAGAAAGCGAAAATGCATCAATGATGCAAAACGGACTTGCAAAGAAAAGATAAATATTAGTTACAGCTGCATGTTAATAAATCATCTGCTGCAGTGTTAATTGGTTTTATAAAAATAACTTGCTTTAAAAAAAAGGACATTTTGCAAAAACAGGCAGGAGGAGGATGAAGATTTACAGATGTAGCAGGATTTGGGGATAAATTTATGAAGTACATCTCTGTTCACAGTTCAGATTTTCGCAGCCGTCCTGTAACGGTGTTTGTTTTCTTAACAAGCGATGTGGCGAGAAAACACTTAAAGGCAAAGAATCAATGAAATACAAAGTCACTGAAGAAGCATTGGGTTGTGGTACAGGATGATCTTAAGAATAAAGATCAGTTTATATTTTGAGGGGACACTTTGAGTGAAGGTGAAAATTAGGACTAAATGAAGCTAAAAGAAGTTTGTTTTATGTGTTTTAAACAAATAGAAAATCCTGGATTGGCTCTGGAACCTTTCCTTCATTTTAGTTTATTTAAAAAGATAAAATAATAAGAAAAAAAATAAGAAAATGAAGCTTCAAAACTGTTAATTTAATTCAGTTCTGGTGCTTTCAGTCCCCTGGAGCTGGTCCTCTGTACTCATATCAAGACTTCTCAGAAGCTAAAATGAATCACCTGCTAATGTACTTTTCATCCAGCACCACACTGATGTCGCTTTCCCTAAAAGCACCGAGCATGAAAACCTGTCAAAGCTCCCTGCATGCAATCAAAATGATATACTAACCCTTTCAGATCACAGCGCACACTTTCAGAATAAAACCATCCCTTTAGAAAGGAGGCATCCTGGTTTGACTCTGGTTTCCTGGAGCAAACAGTCACAGCCTGGACAGGTACAGCAGAGGGAGAGCGTGAGCATGTGGGCCGATGGTGCCAATCATCTCAAACCCACACATAACACCCTGTCTCTCTCTAACACACACACACACACACACACACACACACACACAACTAAAACAAATGGGGGACTTTTCAGCTCCTTCACGGAGGCGACTGAGTGACAGTGAGATATCAGTGAATCAGTGCGGCTCTGTGGGGGTGACACACGTTAATCGTGGCTGCTGTCTGAGAGCTTAAAGTTTTGTTTTCTGCTTTCCCAAATCTAGATTGTTTTTCTTGAATCCTTAATTTGGGATTTGGGATCCTGGAATTCTGCAAACTTAACCCCTTAGCAGTCCTACAAATTTACAATTAGTCCCCTAAACCATCCAATGTACCGTGGGCGGTACGTCCGACTGCTAACAGGTTAACACCCAGCCTAAAAAGCACTAGCTTTGCAAGTGAAACAAACCACGAGCACATCAGCATAACGACAGGGGCACATCTTACATGAAGGGCTACAGCCAGCAATTTAGCAGTAACTGAACCTTCAAAATAAAAGCGTGGGGCCTGTTCAATGGTAGATCAGTCACACGGGTGTCTCATATGGATGAAAATATAAAAGAAATAAGTAAAAATAAGTAAGCTAATTTAGTGTGTTTTACTTTTCTAAAATTTTACTTTATTTTGTTGAATTTTTATTGCATTTGTGGAAAAAAGTCGATGAAAGATTGTGAGTTATAAAACCAAAACGATCAGCTGGGCAGCAATGATCTGTGAGTTTGTGACTTTGAGTGAGATGATAGGTTTTCCCACATGCAGACGCATCCACACAACACACTACTTTGTGTATTATACTTCTAATATTCATTTAACTGGCTGGATTTATAGATGTTATTGGATATAATTTTTATATTGTTTTCTTTCCTCGAGTTTCACTTTGCTTAAATTTGAAGCATTTGTGTGACTCTTTCAAACTCAGATCTAAGGATGCATGACTTTATAAAACTTAGATTTAATTTTAGTCAGTCAGATATTGAACAGTATTCGTATAAATCACACAAAATCAAGCAAAATAAACTAAAAATAAAATAAACTTCAAGAAACCTGAAGGGTATAAATAATGGATGCTTCTTATTTCACTCATTTTAAAAAATAAACAACAACAAAAATCTGTAGCATAAGAATCCAGAGTCTGTACATGAGAGGAGAGCAAACACCGCCACCTGGTGGTACAATAGAAATGAACTCCTTCACACTGACAAATTAGGGAGCTCCTCCCTGCTGACCCTCTCAGAATCAGCAGATTTTTTTTTTTGTGCAGTAACTTTTTGGAGTGTGACTATATTCAAAAAATGTTGCATGCCTTGATTAGATGCACCAGAGTTACAGGCCCTCAAAGTACAGAGAGACGGGAGTCTGTCGAAAATCGGTGCTTTCTTAGTCACCTTATTTTAAATTTTTTTATGTAAGTACAGGGAGGTATCCATGTGAAATTTTGATTTCCTCTGAGCATCATTGTCATGGGACGCATCCTAGTTTCAATAAACTGCAGCAATTTCATGTCTTTAATGTAGAGGAACAGAAACAAGCATTGATACTGGAGCTTTTTCTGATCATTCACTGGAGAAAACTTGCATGAAAAATGCAATTTGGGCAAACTTTGAAAAGTCATCTGACAAAGTGGGAGAGTTGCTGCTCAGTACAAGTAACAGCATATGAAAGGTCTCCTTGTTATCTAACTCGTATACAAACATGACAGGTGATGGGTAACAGGTACACTCCTGCAGGCACTGCACATTGGAGGAAAGGCAGCGGCCAGTGGTATCTGAGGTATTAAGATGAGTCTTTAAAGCTTCGTGCCGAGTGATGTACCTGTTTGGGGTCTGTGGGTCCAGTCGGTGATGTCAGTTCGATGGTGACCGGTCCGTCGTTTTGAATGTGGACCTGCATGCGAGCCCCAAACTTCCCATCTACAATGATAAAACCAGGAAGACAAATGAATAGAGATTACAGTTTACAGGCATCAGCACTTGATGTTTCACGATGTGACGTGGAGCTTTGAGACATTGGGGACAAAGGCGACGGAGAGGTGCGAGGACAGGAAGTTTCTCAAATGTTCTCCTTTCTTCCACCGAGTCCACGAGATTAATGACACCATCTGCACAATGAAGCCGTTGGGCCGCGGTGGAAAAAGCGCTGCATCATCGCATTTTCTCTCTGGAGGGGGAGGCGGAAGGCTTCCTAATTAAGAAGCCCTACACCTCCCTCGCTGGGACAAGGTGTTCTCCTCACCTGCTCCCCGGTGGGCTGACCCAGTTCACCGCCACCGTCATTGCCAGCGCGTCACCACACCGATGATCCACCGCCTAAACTGCTGTAACCTTACACCGAGATGGGAATACGGGCAATTAAATAGCAGGGAGCAGGATCACTAGTCCAGGCCCATAAGTGTGTGGCAATAGCTGTGACCTTTGACCTTTTGTTTCCAATTAGCTTTGTATCAGGTAACAGGCATTTTTCAGCCATGCCGTCCTGCAGCCTCCTGGGACTCTATTAAGACTGGTCTCTGAAAAGACCGCCAACAGACTGTGGCTATTTTTTTTAATTAAAATAATCCATCTTAGCTTGAAAGAGCAGCTATCAGCTCAATATCAATATCCAGACCTAAACTCCAGCAGGGGGCAAAAATCAGAGGACTTTAAAGTGGGGCAGTGAAGATGATGAAGGGCTGGATTTACTGAGAGGGGCGTTGAGCGTTGAGGATGAAATAGCTATGTGCTAATTAGAGTGCAGCTAGTTCATTTCATTAATGACCAGCTTTTTAACTAAAGCAGCACAAATTAGCAGCTCCACAACAAGCAGGCCTGACGAGGGAGCGGGTAACCCGCTAACCAAAATATCAGCGTGAAGGTTTCACGCAGCCGTTTGTCCTCACACGCAGCATGACAATTCAGATTAAAGGTAACCAGCTGATGGGTATGATATGTTTTTTACTCTTCTGCTGGGAATTACAGGGAACTGTGTGATCTCTGGATGAATCTGACACTCAGGTGGAGCAGAGGGTTCATCGAGATGAAGCATGCTTTATAACAAACCTGAAAATACCTGCAACCATCGGTGCTACCCCTCAGCCTGCTTGCAGACACACCTATGCCATCAATTCCAAAGTCCTACATCATGTGTTAATGAAATGTTACTGAGCCACCTGCATAAACATGAGCACAGCTTTTGTTCTTCTTGCTGCATGCATGCATGTCTTGTGATATTATGGATGTTTAGAAATAGTCGATTAGACGATTAAACATCATTATTGAGCACCACAAGTCAGTTAAAGCAATTCTTCTTCCCTTTTTATGAACGTACATTACTGGTCACCGGCTCGTCCTGTAATTTAACAACACTATCCTCCAACATCTGTAGCACCCGCAGACACCTGAGACCCGCTCTCTGTGATAGGAAGTTGCAAAAAAGCGAGGTGGAAAGTCGGGCAGACGACAGCTGCATAAACCAGCGCAGGTCTGCATTTAAAGTAGAAAATGGACAGGTGCTGGTTCGATTTATCAGAGAAAACTAGCGTTTGATTTAACCATTTGACCAAAGAAGCATGTGGATGCTACGGATCCTAGCACTGCTAATGTTAGCACACGCAGCAATCCAACCGCAGTCTGAGTGTTTGCAACGTTAACATCAGCAAAAAGAGATGCACATCTCAGCGGCATCTGAGAATAACTGGATTATCAAAGAATATTATTCAGTTTCATTCATTCTCTTAAAGAACCACATGTTCATATGGATAGTGTTTCTTACTCTTGGATTAGTAAACTGGTCACCAGTAACAGAAGTACTTGAGAAGCTGGAGGAATTTATTTAAAGTTAATGTTAAATATTGTAAGATTCAAACTAGGGATGTAGTCAACTAGTCAGCAAACACACTGAAAGCATTTAAAACTGAACCCAGCCCAAGCACGAGGCTAAACATGGCTGTTTAACAGCTAACGTTAGCAGTGCTAACTTTAACCTTCACTCTCTGCAGGCTGGCGTCCACACGCCTCTCACACAGCCACTCATTTCCTACTTCAAAGTATTGCAGTGGTTTATAGTTCATGTCTGACCCTTCACATCGTACCATAACAGAGAGGAAGAGGCTCTGCTGGTCGTTAGAGTCGCAGCTTTTGCCAACTGCTGACACACATCGATAAAGTAGGAACAATCTGTTTAACCGACTAACAAAGCAGCGATCTTAGACTCGATTAGTTGCACACGTCTAACATTAATCTGACTCGCTTCACATCCGAGTCCCATTAACAGCTGCTTTTAATAAAGATTTTAATCTTAAACTGCTACTGCAGTTTAAAGAGTCAACCGGTGTCCACAGCTTTCAGTCACAGTGTTTTATAGTCAAAAAGAAGGCTTTGCTGACGTGGCCCTACGCCTCTGTTTGACCCACCTTTAATGAGCTCCGGTTTGTGAGTGCTCCTCATGTTCTCCAGCATGCTGTCGTAGAAAGGCTGAGCGAGTTCTGCGGGCATGGCCGAGTGGAAATCCGGCTTGTTGCCCTTCAGGATGCACTGCAGGGTGAACTGGCTCACACACAGAACCTCAAAGTCTCGCTCCATGACACTTTTGCTCCACGCTCGGCCGTGCTCGTCCTCGAACAACCTCAGGTTCAGGATCTTACGCACCCTGAAAACACAAAGATGAGAACAACACAGTAAGCAGCCTCTCCTATACTTCTGTATTTTATATTAATCTTTGTTTTTATTTATTTTACACTTTCTGTTTTCAATTCAGTCAACGGTGACAATAGCCATCCATCCATCTTCATCTGCTTTATCCGAGGCCGGGTCGCGGGGGCAGCAGCCTAAGCAGAGACGCCCAGACCTCCCTCTCCCCAGCCACCTCCTCCAGCTTATCCGGGGGAATACCAAGGCGTTCCCAGGCCAGCCGAGAGATATAATATCTCCAGCGTGTCCTGGGTCTGCCCCGGGGCCTCCTCCCGGTGGGACATGCCCGGGACACCTCACCCAGGGGGCACCCTTGTCAGATGCCCGAACCACCTCAGCTGGCTCCTTTCGATGTGGAGCAGCAGCTGCTCTACTCTGAGCCCCTCCCGGATGGCCGAACTTCTCACCCTATCTCTAAGGGAGAGGCCAGCCACCCTTCGGAGGAAGCTCATTTCTGCCGCTTGTATCCGCGATCTCGTTCTTTCGGTCACTACCCACAGCTCGTGGCCATAGGTGAGGGTAGGGACGTAGATCGACCGGATCAGAATCATTGAAGACATTTAATTTTTGCATAAATGTTTTATTATTTTGACTGTGTGCTTTTAGCTTATTTAGATTTCCCTTCTTTTTATGATGAAATTACAGTGTTTGAGATCTCAGGGTGTACTTTCTGCTTTCTGCACTCACATGTACTCAGCATCCCTCTGCGTGTCCTCCACAGATATGCCCAGCAGCACACACAGTCCATGTCCGATCGAGCTGATCTGCTCCTCGCCCACTGCAAGAAAGCACAACAAAATGAACACTGGCACAGAGATATCAGGCAACGCCGTGCCCACAGAGATCACAACCAACTTGAAGAAATCAGACAAAGGAGATTTTATGTTTTTACATCCTCAAAATTTGTTCATTTTCAAGTTTCTATAAAAGCATTACAGGCAGCTTTGGACATGTGTGGATATTTGCAACTGCAGTGAGTTTGTTTTTCGTCTTGGATACTTGGAACTGATTTAAACCTAGCGGTAAACACGTTCTACTTGACCCTCTGAGGGTCACTATGGCCTTCTGTGCACCGAAGCAGCGAAATTATACCAACGCATGTCTCAGAATCCATTCAATGTAATCTCTCACACAGATGCATGCCCTACAGAAGATATGTGCAAACATCAATTCTTGCCATTATTCAAACTGTAGAAACCATCAAATTTGTGTCTTTAATATTCGTTTCTTCAGCTTTTTGTTCATTTTACTTATTTTTTTACAGTACAAAATGAGCCATGTCAGAGATGTCAGCATCTGAACAGAGACTCACACCAGCAGCCTGTTGCTTACTGGCCAGCTGCTCTAACCTCTGCTCTTCTAGCTACTAAGAGTCATGCTGTATATACTGGACAAAGGATGCTGAAGATGGAGCTGCCAGGCAGGAAGAAGAGAGGAAGACCACAGAGAAGACTCATGGATGTAGTGAAGGAGGACGTACAGAGGGTTGGTGTGACAGATACTAGGGTAGGATCAAATGATGATCCACTGTAGAGAGCTCTAGAGGACGTCATGTTTCCCACACAATAAACATGAAGATGGATTTGACTGATTTTCTTTATTGCGATAGATTGTGAGAATTGTGACTTGACTTTGTACTTTTTAAGCATATTTAGGAGAAAAATAAAAACTGACCGGTTAAATCAGCACTGTAGACATTTTTAAACGCACTTTCTTAGCGTGAGAAAATAATATAGACTGAGAAATAAAATGTAACCACGCATATATGAGCGTGTTTTTGTGAACTGTTTGCCCTCCAGCTGTTGTTACTGTTGCACACCGGCAGCTAGCAGAGGCTGACAGGTGGCCGGCTGTCAGAGAACAGTCGCCAGCCGTCAGCCCCGCAGACATACAGGACATGTTCACTGCTATCACGCCCCTCTGAGCTCCAGCAGCGGCTGACAGCTGGAGAGACAACAGCTCTGCTGCATTCATTCTGCATTCACTCTGCTGGCTAATGCTAACCCTGCTAGCTTAGCTAAGGCGACATGTCAGCGACGGAAACGAGCGGAAGCTGTGAGCAGGCTCGAGTTTAAATACATTCTCAAAATGCAGCAGCCGCGCTCAGGTTAAAGCTTACCTGTCACACTCGCCTTCGTGACTCTCTGAATGATAGCTTTCATTGTTGTGGTTGTGTTGGGGAGCACACTGTCACAACTTCCGGGAATCAACAGAGCGCACGGCACGATGTCTCCCCCTGGTGGTTGAAACCGGTAACACGGGTCCTGAGATTCAAGCGTACAGGGAGGAATTTATTAAAGCCCACGCGAGACTTTTACAGCTGACAGTTTTTACTGCGAGCTGTCAAAGTGGATAAAGCAAGAGTGAAATTAATAAAACCTTAGTTACCCAGAAAACCGTGAAGGTGAACCTGCATGCACACATGCTGCACCTAAGGGGAGTACAGCCTACTTTAATAGATAGATAGATGCTTTATTGATCCCACAAGGTTAAACTTTTGTGTTACAGCAGCATGATAAAGAATAAAATCGTACAGTGTACAATACACAACAAATAAACAACAAAGTAAGAGGTTTATACTATGAGACTGTTGTAAACAAATTCTTGCAGTGTGATAAAAACAAACAAAAATGTAGTTAAAAACAATGAAGAAGAAGTGCAAATTGGATTAATAAATAATATGTATAACTAAAAAAACAGCAGCATGAAGGTATAATACAAAAGCATGCTTCAATCTGTAGGAAAGATTTCCTAAAGCGTTCTTTATGGCAGTGAGGTTGAATCAGTCTGAGGGAGAAGGAGCTCTGCTGCACCCTCATATAGATGTCATCACATCAAAAGTGTTTGCAAGTGAATTTAATCATTGCGTTGTATTAAAATCCTCCTTTACAGTGGGCTGAAAGAAGCTAGAATAGAGTATCTGTTAAAGAAAAGTCATAAAGCTTGTAAAGTAAGAGCCAGAACAAAAGTTTTAAAGTCTTAAAGGGCCTAAAGTAAAGAATTCCTTTATTGGATCAGCTGTATGGGATTAACTTAATGTTGCAGTTGGATATTATTTTAATTCCTTCTTATGCTGCCGTTTTGATTTATCAATAATAATACAGCAGAATACATGAGCAGGTTTTAAAACCCCAAATAAAAACTTTAAAATAAATTGATGAAGTTTAGTTTACAACATTTTAAAGTTTTACCCCCAGAAATACCAGTGTTTTTGACACGTGGATGCTAATGACCTAACACTGATTTCTGACAGTAACCCAAACTGAGATGACTACACGATGAGGGGACCATGATGAAAGACCACAAAGTCAAACTTCTTTTTCTTTTTTGTTTATTGTGGCAAGAAAGTTGGAAAATACACACAAACACACACCTTGTCCGACATTTAGTCAGTTAGGGTCTGGTTACACACACAGAGGAAAAAATACAGTATTTTCACCCAAAATACAGAGGATTACTCAAAGAAAGTACAAGTACATTAAAACTTTACTTCAGTGAAGTACTAGAGTAAATGTACTAAATTCATCCTTTCATCCAGTGCTGGTGGACCCAGTGGTGATGTTGAGCTGGTGAAGCTCAGTGGGCACATGACTGCTGGGAATTCTAATAGCAATCACATCATCATGTTATTGGAAGATCCTGGACCAAGGCATGGCCCTGGTTGATCTGGACTCAGGCAGGGTCATGCCTTGTCTCAGATTGTGTTTGTGCTAATCAAGTGTGTAGTCGAGGTGAGGAGAGTGACGTTCAACATGAACGTGGCGCTACGAGCGTCAGCACCTCCAAGTCTGAGTGATGGAGGTCCTGGGATCTTGCTGGTGAGGTTTAGTATAAATAGCCAAAGTCTGTCAATTGAAGGTGAATATCAGAATCGCCTGTTGTTGATGAAAGTAAAGACAGAAAAGCAGAATGAGCCCTCTTTAATTGACGGGGGTGATGATCAGAGGTGCAGAGTTCCAACCATCATTTTCCAGTCCAGGACTGAAGTATGGGTAGAGTTTCTCAGTGAAGGAGCAGCCAGTAAAGGAGTAGATCAGAGCTGCAGTATCAACGTCATAAAAGGAGACCAGGCCATCCTCATAATCCACAAACACCCCCACCTTCTTAGGAGCAGACTGCAGCGAGAGAGCGACATCAGGGCCAGCTTTGTATTTATTTCCATTACTCAGGCCTACGGTCCAGAAACCGGCTGCAGGTCTCGGTGTGATGTCTTCCCTCCTGTTGATCGACTCTCTGGCCACTCCCAAAGTCCACTCGCCCTTTCCTTCAACCTGAACCTCAAAATAAAATCTGCCTGAAGAGAAACTCTGTTTTCCTAAAACAGCAGCACTGTAAAAAAATCTCTCTGAGTTGTAGGGAAGAGCTTTCTCCCTATAGGTATCATGTACTTGTTTCCCATCATCAGACAGGAAGAGGTAAGCATTTGCTGTGTCTGGATCGAGTGTCACGTCCACTGCGTAGCTCTGGGCCCTCCTCAGCTTGGCCATGGCGAGCATCTTGGGTAGTTTCTCCTTCATCTC